ACGCTGAACTAATAGCTGATGAGAAAAATGTTCTAGGGGAACAATGTACCTGCCTACAACTAACATACTTGGAGGACTGAGACATTATTTTGCAACGCTTGGCATTAAGGGGGTGACTAATCTGTGAAGCTACTTGGTTATGTCTCTCTCCCAGGCTACCTGCAAGACAGTCTGCACTCTCAGTCCAATCCTGGGTACGGTCTGACCACTTCAGTGTACTCTTTAACCAGCCAGGAGGGAATTTCCACAGTTTGAGGAAGCCAGACAAGTATCACTCTGTCCTTCGTGTATCTCCCAGCCTTCACTCTGGGAGTAGACCAGGGTGCCACTGGATAAATGTGGGATTACTAATATTGCACAGGAAACCTTCATTCTGGCCTTTTCTAACTCTAGAGAGCTTAACTTTACAAACTTTGGAATAGTTTTTGTCAATATGATAAGTAGAAAGGGTATAAGGCTGCCCTTACTCAGATGAAACGTCCTCTGACTTTAATAAGTGGATTTGCTCAGATAGTGCTTTCTCTCCTCTCCACTACCCTGCATCCTTTACCACATCTGAAAGACATTCATTACCCTTCTACTTTTCACAGAAAAGTCTATACTGCAACACTGAAAGTGATAAAAAGAAAATACCACCCTAAAATAGTTTTAAGAAAATGAAAAATTTTCCACTGACAAATTCGATGTTTTGCTAGTGTTTTTATTTTCCACTAAGAAAGTCTAATTAAACCTCTGCTAGTTCCACCCAGCATGGAGATCAGGTTGTTCCAAGAAATTGTTTTGTTTAAACTTTTCTGCCCATCATGAAATAGGAAAGATTGACATTTTATTTCCATTTCAAAAGAAATGCTTATTTTCAAAAATTTGAACTTCTTAGGTGGTGCAAAAATTTCCGTACTCTAATCTTCAGCCTTCTCACTGTTGTGGTCCTGACAGCATTCACCTGTAGGAGTTGTAAAAGGGACTGATTTTCTAAGCCACGGAGACTTTCTAGATCAATATCCGACTAATACCGTTTAGGCATTTACAGAGAGTTTCATTAACATGGATTAAATAGTCATCAAAAGGACTGTGTGTTGACTGTGTTACATGCAGATAATATGATAAAGATGGTGCCCACATCCAGATTTAACAAACATGTTTGATTGTTTAATGTCCCTCTGCACACCTGGTTTAACAAATACAGCCTTTGGGGGAGGGCAACAAAATAGACTGCAATTTGAACAGAACACGGAGCCAGTGTTCTGCATCACCTAGTTAACCTCAAACAAGATTAATCAGATCTCTTTACCCGAGATGGTGTAACCCAGCTCGTATCTGCTAAGAAAATTTCATTGTTAAAAACACACTGCTTCTTGCTAAGCTGTTTGCTTTCTGTATTGACAAAAGACGTAAGGAATATGAGAATGTCCTGTCCTTTAAAATGCAGACTATATTAACGGGTCTCCTTTCAGCTTGTCTTTGCAGAAGGGATAAAGCAGATCTTACATGAGCAGGACAGCCATCGCAGGGTCCTCAGGGAACCCGCTGTTCTGCCTCCGGCCTGCCGTTATTGAGTGTCTCCCCTTTAAAAACGAACATTTCCAAAAGCCCGCGGGTAGAGGTGGAATCACGATCAAGTGCTCAATGCCTAAATTCATATTCTTTTTACAGTGTCACCAGAACAGAGACATATGCATCCACATAACGGCAACGCTGCACGTACGCATATAGTCCCAGTTTATCCACTTTTTGATAAATTTCAGCTGTATTTTTAGAACTTCTATAAACTAATGCGAGTGTTTATGTAAAACAAGGTGGCTGAGGGCTGGGAATGATGAGTTCTCAGAGAGGTCTGTCTAGTTTATACATTGCTCAGACAGAGGATTTTGCTGTTAAGTGAAACGAGATCCAGTTGTAATGAGATACATTTTATTTTCTATTTAGGAAAGACTGAACATTGAATTGGTCCAGTCTTAGTGTTAATCCACAGAAGTGCTAAATTTAGATCCAGAAATGGCTTCTTATGATTTGCATGTTTTCAGCTTTATGACCGGAAAATAGTACTGGGGGAAGCACAACAGCCAGCCAGGCACAGCCTGCAGAGCCGAAGTCAGAGAATGCAACAACTTGAGCTCAGCAAGCTTCAAGCAATTAAAAAAAAAACCAACCCCAAACCCAAAAAAACAACACCCACACACACTACATGCCATTGGAATTGTAAAAGGGACTAGAAAGGCAGAATGCAATGAACAGAATTAGAATCAGACTAAGGGTTTGAGTAAACATCTTCACTTACACAAAAAATACCAGAAAGAGTGGCAATTATAATATTCATCTAGAAAATAGCGCCCCACCATACATACCATGCTTGACTGCTATTATTTAACAGTGCACAGCGCAGAAGCATATTGCTTGCACCCAGAGCTGGGCACTTCTGTGCTCTTTTGTACAAGCACTTATCAGTCCCCTGTGCCTCAGAGAAGAGGCAGCCTAAAAGAGAGGTAAGAACAGAGGCTCAGTCGACGCTATTATGAGCAGCACAGCGGCGTTCTTTGCTGATCTCCTGTTCTGACGCTTACATGAACCATCTCACAGACACAGCGCCAGGACCGTACAGCTGTAAATTAAAAAAGAACACTGTAAAAATACAGGAAAGTGCACCTGTGTAATTTGCAATTTGTATTACAAAACAAAAAGACATAGCTCAACATCTTTTTCCTTCTCTTGAATATGGTTTTTCAGCTACTCAGAGACACCAAGGGTTCAATAAGGCATCCCTCAAATAACTCTAATGCATGGTTTGAACTACCATGCAAAAGCATATTCGCCCCTCCTGGCTTCATGAAACTCAGCTGTAACGTCTCTGGACCATTTTTCATGTTCCTTCCTATCATCCAAGTCTTCTCTACAAAAAGAAGGAACAAGGACTGGCATTTCAGAAAAATGCAGGCATGGATTTAAATATTATGCAGCAAGAACAACTACTCACTGGGGACTTGGAAAAGACCAGCATAGCTATTGCAACATATAACGTAACTGAGACGGAAAAAAACCTCATCTTCCATCCTGGATGTTTATTGCATATGTTACAGCTCTCTGTACATCCAGCCATCACTGATGCTCGTAGGAATTGTATAAGCAGAAAAAAGAACAGAACATTCTCAAGAAAGCCTCTGTAAAGAGAAGTGTGATCTCCAGGGTGAGAGCTTGTGTCATTAAACGTCTGACATCAGATTTCATTGCAGGCGATAGCGAAATTCTCACCGCCTTCAATAGCAAAGTTTGGGCTATAGGCTCCCCCCCGCCACCACTTTCCGTTGGCCTTGCTCCTTGACAATGAGATTAGTGTTACAGAAATAGACTGAAGCTTTAAGAAGCACGTAAAGGAAAAGTTTTGGCGCTACGTTTGTATTTGTCCTCAGCTACCAAGAGCTTCACTGTTTTGAAAGAGCGGAGGTCAGCGTACACACAGACAAATCTGGAGTGCTGGTCTGTACGCTGCTTTGAGTCACACAGGCAGGGTCGCAAACCCCACAGCCCCGTTCCCGACGAGAGGCATCACCAGATGGAGGCACTTATTTTTCAGCAGCATTATGCACTGTGTTACACACCTGAACCTGTGCTGCAATTGCAATCCGGGGCTTTTCTGGAAAGCGGTAATACCTAATTTTCCTGAAATTTGCAAAGTACTGTTGCAAGAGACAATGCAGGACAGGGTTGAGATGCCAAATGTCACTTTGCCAAGTCAACGTGTGGCACCATCGGTGTGAAACCAGAGCCACCTTCAGAAAGGCGAACTCAGCCATTTTGCCATCCTTGCTTTGAAAAACTAGAAATTGATAAAACAAAGTAATACTTAGGCTTGGTGTATCTAAAACGGCTCAGCGAGCCCAAACGCTCTTGCAGGCAGTGCCTGGTGCTGCAGCCGGCCGGCTCCCGGGGGAGGCGGCTCAAGGGCAGCCAGGGGCCCCCTCCCCGACGCATCCCCTCTGCCATCCCGGGCCTGACTGGCTCATTGTACAGTACACTGATGACATTGCTTGAGGTCAGATGCTTTTTTTTTTGGTTTTTTTTTAAACATAAATGGAAAATACCTTTTATGACGGAGATGTGTAATTGACCCCCTGGCAAAGGTTAGCATCCTAGCCAGAAAACACATGGCACAGCATGATGAAACAAGGAAGTATTTTGTAAAGTTTCTCTTTTACTGAAAAAACAGTGATATCCAGGCGTTAAAGGTATAATAAAAATGGGAACTAAAAATATACCTTAATGCAGCCAATAAAATTCAACTTTAATCTAAATAGTTTTTAAACCAAATGTTACAGTAAGTATGTTTTATAAGCCCATCTAACCTCACAATTCCATATTCAGCTTATTTTTTTACCTGGAACACTATTTATTTTTTTCCACTGCTTAAAGATATTACAGATGTTATAACTACCTTCCTTAACTGTCACTTCAATTTTTATGGGTATCTGAAAGAAGCAATTAAAAAGTTTAAAATAAAAAGTATCATCAGACAAATACATGATTCACGCTGCAATTTTCCATACGCTGACTACTGCCAACTTTACAACTTGGCAGATGCTGGGAATATCCCAGCTCTACCCTTGCAAGTCTCCTCCAGGACCATCAAGAAAACATTTTGTCAGGCTTCAAACATCAGCAGGATCTCTGGTGTGCTACGGGTAAGCCCCCAAAATATAAATGCTTAACCAAACTTTACTGTAGCTTACTAGACTTTGAAGTTTTCCAGTTCCCACTGTTCTTGGGCACATTTCCCCCCAGTCAACTTTGAGAACCAGGTGAAAGAAACTTGAAACCAGCATCGAAAACGGGGGAAGCTCCTACAAGTCAGGTGGAAGGTGAGGATGTACTGTTCTCCTTGCAGAGCATTTGATCCTTTACACAGGCTCTACTTTGGGTAAGGCCCAGGGCTGTTTCGATCTGTTTCTCTGAGGCAAGGCAGCCTGCCCCCCCCCCCCAGCCAGGAGGCTGCGTGCTGCGAGTTTCGCATGTGCAGCGAGTGTTCCCGTCCTCACACGTGTTACGGGCTGTTCGGCAGCTCCCTGCAAGCCCCTGCCCAAGTCATTCACAGCCGCACAGCTCGGCTGACCCTGGCACTCAGAGCGAGTGACGATGGAAGCGCCTGGAAGCCGGTCAGCACAGCTCCATCCATCACACAGGCACTGCCTGTCCTGCTCTTTTCTTTGGCAAGTTCCCCCATATAAAGTTTCTGGAACTGATGCTTTTACAGCACTTAGAGCCTTACCTCTGTTAGTGTTTCCACATTTCCTCCTTCCCATGGTAACACCCTCGTAATAATTTTCCATTAATAAATGTATGTACTATATACAAGACTAAGAGCTGCCTGTTGCAAAAATCATTTGAAGTGATTTGGTAAAATTTAGAGGATGGAACTGTATTTTCCTATCAGACCATCAATATATACTGCAAAGGACTTACAACAGGCAGCACTGAAAAGCATCCTTATTTAAATGCTTTCATGAATTAAATGGCATTCATTTTCTCCACACATCTCACTTAAAGCAAAACGCCTTTGCACAGCTTTGTGCATATTCGGCAAGCAGAGAGGTGGTAAGACTACGGTGATTACCTAAAATCAGATCAGACATTTGATGCTACATGATCGCGTTGAAGTCAGCCCGTGTTTTGGGAATCAAACAGTCTCTCCGAACGCTGCTTTTTATGGCAGAAAAATACGTGCTGCAGAGGGCTGTGGAAAGGAAGACACACGCAGAGAAAAGAGCAGAAAAGCGGAGTAGGTTAAAGAGAAACTCACATGATTCTTACATCCAAATTCTTTGGATGTGATACCCTTCAGCTGGAGACGGCTGAGAAGGACCACATGGCCTTTTCAACAAGCCGAAGGCTGGAGTAAGTCATTGCGATTTCAGCTTCGTGTGCTGGGAGTAATTTACACAATTCACTGGTAGGTGGCAACAGTATACAGAGATAAAACACATGTGCAGACAGCTTATTAAAGTGATAAATAGCCTGGGTTAGCAGAGAGGTGGACACCAAAAATACCATACATTCAAATTTACGGTTACTTCATTTTTTGAGGAAACATGGCTAAGTCCTTCCTTATCCTTTTTCGTGCACTGGCTGCACTCAGAAGTCTCTCTCTCCTTTAAAAAAAAAAAAAAATCTGCAGAAAGGCAGGGTACGTTTCTGTTGACAGAAGAGAAAGGACGGCCACCCCCCTGCCAGCGCCGCAGGGACCGGCGCCCTTCCCGAGGGATGTCAGTGCGACCGGCGAGCAGCTTTCCAAGGGCAAGGGCGGGGGCGGAGAAATAAGAGAAAAAAAAAGAAATAAAAGGAAAAAATAAAGAAGGGGGGGGAGGGGGAGAAAAGAAAGGGAAAAGAAAATAAAGGAAAAAAGGGGACGTAATCCTGGGGGGAAGGCAAAGCTCTCCCACACCGGCTTACCGGACAACCAGAAGCCCCTCCCGCTCGCCGCGCCGCC